TATTTCCTGTTTAGGGAACTTTTTATACAATTCTGTCTGTATTATGTATTTTTTATAACAATTCAATAGGCTTCTTTTTTGACAAATTCAGTGTTTTCTTGTCCCTGATGCTTTTTCTTGCCATTGTTCTGTTAGACTATTTACTTTACTTTACATTTATGTTACACAGAAGTGAACCAAATGCTGAGATATCGGCCTACTGTGTATATTCTTTAAGTTTTCTTACACCCCTTAAAATCAAGAAGGCCTCACGGCACCCCACAAAGCTTTGGCGACCCCTAGTGGGGATCGCGACCCCCCAGGTTGGTAACCACTGGTTTAGAGATACAGTAACGTTCCCAGAGTCAGAAACTAATAAATGCCTTAGGACAGAACTTTTAAATGTATTTGGTGTAGTCTGTTTATGTTAAACAGCAATATTAGGCTACCTTGGCTCAATTGTTAAAAGTATTTATGGGATCAAATAACATAATTATGATTCCATAAGCATCCAGGAATTGAGTGAAACTAAGCAAGTAAACTAACGGGGGAGGGGGAAACCTTTTTCCAGAGGAAGCCCGGTGTCAGACTTTGAAAAACCCTGGACTGAAATAATTAATCAGCGAGTAGTTTGAGTATAGTGAATACAACACTATTGTTATCTGTTATGGTTACAGGTCACACATACTAAACACAGTGTGACAATAGCTGCTAATGATTAATACAGTGAAATGGCCAGTGCTGGTGGCTGTCTGCAGCTGAGGACTGATGAGAAACCGGTGAAAGTGTCAGACAGGCAGCCTGTATTCTCCCCTCTGCTGTTACTGAGAGATTATTTGATTTGAACGACTAAATGCCAAATCAAAACCTGAGTTATTCCGCGGTTGCCTCCAGTCCAGGACTCCACTGTTCTCAGTAGAGTTCTGGACTCCAGGTTTGTGGGCTAGAGACACGACATATTGCACAGCCAAGCCATACACATACCCAGTGCCTATACAGACCCTGAGGCAAATCTAATGGAATGAGCGGCTGTAACTGAATCGCTGGAAACACAGTGAACATGTTGGCATGTACAGTGTTATTGAGATCATCAGATGAGGATGCAGCGGACACAGAGGACATCTACATTTCTCTTGGCAAGCACTTGAAATTATAAACTGTGGTTGTAGATAACTCAAGAGATAAAAAACCCTATTCACTTTATATCATGTCTTTCACTAGAGGAAATACTAGTGTATGCTGTCGTACTATTATTATAGAGAGAAAACTGTTTGTGTGCTGCATATAAAACAGAATAAGGATGGCACTCAAGTGTGTGAGCTAACAGATTATATAATTACGGTTAATTAGGGAACTGGAGCACTCCTGGGTGTCTTTACCTTCAAGTACAACAGCACCACCTAGTGGTGGTTGCAGTACATGTGTCTGAGCCATGGTGGAGATCAGGGATACAAAGTCTTACTTAATAGATGTGACTAACTTAGCAGTGGTGCTAATGAGGACTACATGTACACTGCTTCAGAGAGAATGAATCCAGACCTGACATTTAGCTGACATCAGCTTATTGCTAACATGCTGAAAGCAGACCTACAACCACGATACTTTCATAATCCCACACGTTTTTTTACACAATACCTTGAAACATACTTACGGTTATCCATCCAGACCATATTCCACCGTTTTTTATATATTTCTATTTTGTTGTATTTTATTCTTTCTCTACTCTTGCACTACATTCTCCTGTGGTGCTGTGCCAAATTTCCCCTACGGCTGATCAATAAAGGAACATCTTTATTTATTTGACTGAAAATAGTGAAAGTGTGGTGTCTTCAGATTGCTCATTTTGTCCGACAAACAGTCCAAAACCAGAACATATTCAACTGATTGTGATAAATAAAAAACAAGCAAGGTGCTCAGATTCAAGGAGATGAAACCAGCAAATGTTCTGAGTTTTTACCTGACAAATTACTTAAAAAGAAAAAACCCAGTCAGACATAAGGTTGTACCATTTATTAGTCAATTTGACGAGTGGCACAATACAAGGATTGCTGACACTGTCCTACCCTGAAAGGCTCTTGATTTGAAATAAATAGATTATAAAGAGAACAATACTCCAATGAGATGGTTAGTAGATCTAAATAAAAATAAAAAAACTGGAAACATATTTATGCCAAGTTTGTTCTTTTCATCAAATAAGAAATCAGATACATTAGAAAGAATGTTCCATATAAAACACCTTGCATTACCCCATAGCCTATCACATGGTGGTGATAAATGACATTCTGATTGTGCCTAGACTAATCTTCACCTACCGCCTGATGCACTTTGTTTTTCAGCTGATCCTGAATGGAAACTACTTCTCTGACTTTAACCTAAACCACTCTTATTGTTTCAATAAGGCATCAAAATGTTCCATGCATTTGTGAAAAAGTCTTCCAGCAGTGGTTTCCTTTCCCGCTTCAAAACAATAAAACTGGTCCAGTCTCCATGCTATGCTCTAGGGGTACTCCTTTATTGAACAACCTGAAATTCTAGCCATCTTTGGGGTAATGCCTTTGTGTTAAGTCTTTGAGAGAAAGAAAGGCACAGTCTGCAGAGCAGGATTAGACAGAAGAGTTCAGTCGAAGTGCTTGGTTGCTGAACTCCTCTCGAGGGAGCAGAAAGTAGCGCACATTGTTGTGGTTTCTTTTCCGTTACATCAGATAAAAACCTTTTTCTTTTTTCTCTGGGAGGCCGGGCCTGCAGCTCCTGAACCCATGCAGGCGGGTGAAATGAGACGTCTGCAGCTGCAAGTTAAAAAAAACAAAAAAAAAAAAACAAATCTGGTATTTCAGTTTGAAACACCAGTAGCAACAGACAGAATGACATCTGGTGCTTTGTGGTCAGCGACAAACAACGCTGAGCTGCTTATTCTCGAGCATTGTCCACACCCGTCCTTTGCCAAAGTGGTTTCAAAGCCTTCAGCGAACTCAAAGGCTCATGGGAAGCTCCGACTGTCTGAGGGAGAAGCATCGTCCGGTGCGAATGCCCATGGTCATCCTGCCATTTCAACACAAGCACTTATTCTCTGGTCTTTGTCCATATTAATTATGAGTCTGAGAAGATTAAAGTCGCTGGTGAATATCTTCTGGAAGGGCAGAACTGATGCGCAGGCAGAAGAGCAAACCTCTGCCAGGACAAGAGCCTTATCTGCACGTAGCGGAGGGACCGAGATACCGTATCTGACTCCCCACATGCTTCAGCCCGTTTGGGAAACTGCGCTGATAAACTGGCTGCACTGTGGAATGAAACTCCTTACTGAGGCGATAACGGCGCGCACAGTTCGACACAGTGTGGAAGTCAGAGGCTGTCCTGATGGAGTTTTACATGACCCAGAAATGAAGCTGTTCTTTCCGTTCGATCAGGGTGCTGGTACCAACACAATTTCACCCCGCACGAGAGTCCAATACAATTAGCTATATAAAAAAAAAAAAAAAAACATACGGACACACAATGATGGTATACCCTGGAGGGAAAGGTTTTCCTATCCCATGAGAAATGAATATACATATGCAGCAAACGTTGAGAAAAAAAGAGGTAGCTAATTTATGAAACATTAAAAAATAAACAATACTATACTAAGAACTAAAAACTGCTTTACATTAGCTATTGATTGGTATGGATTCACAACACTGACAAACTAAATGTCTGCTACCCATAAAAGAAGCTACTCCTATCCATGCCTACCCTTTCATCATTTCTTCACTTAGACATTCCTCTCATCTGTTGTTATACATCACAAAAGATCATCTCAACAGAGACACAGAAGAGAGCAACATGATCGACTGTATGAGTATAGGTTCAGCAACCTACACAGGGCGTTGGTGTTTTATCTTGATACTTCAAAGATGAATAAGTTATTTTTCTAATTTTGGGCTCACTGAAACCACAAAGATCCGGCGAGACCAAAATGGAACCTTCTGCATCTCTTCCTCCATCCACAGCCACTTCTTGAACAATTTGTAGACAAATAAATAATCACAATCCATAACTTGTTTTTTTTTTTTTAACCTAAAAATTGGTCTTTTACCTAAAATAAGATGAAGAGCAAATTAACCTCCATTCCCTGACACATTCCTCAGGAATTCTCCAGCCAAAGGTTTATCTAAATCCTTCCGAACCCAAAAGCCCTCTGTTTGCTTCAGGGTCCCATCTGGTTTGCAGTGTGTGGAGTCCTGTCAGTAGTTGCGAATGCTGAAGAAGCCCACACTGGTTGGCGACTCCTTGACTGTGACAGTAACTAGATTAGCAGTGACATCCGTGACAAACACATGTTCTATCAGACTCCGCGTGGGCTTCCAGTCCTGGTTCTGGACCGCTACTGAGCGATTCTGTCCAGCGTAGTCCTGGTCGGAGTCTGAGCTGCTCTCGTCTTCGCCCGTGCTCATGTCATTCATTTTGGCTTTCTTGCCGTCTTTGGAGGCCGACCTCTCTTGCTGGCTCTGGACCTCGGTGGAGGACTTCTGCACGCTGCTCTTCTCTAGCCTACCTTGGACTCTGGGGGTCTGGATTTCAGTCGCCTCTTTGACCTTGTCTGCTCCAGGCTGGTTCTTTCTGGCCTGCAGTCTTCCGGGGGCCGCTGGACTCTTGGGGGGATTATACTCCTGATTTTGTGTGACCGTCGTTTTCCTTGCTGGGTTCGTTGCGTTCCTCAGGCCTGACACTGGGGCAGTGCCATTTCCAGGAGCATCGTTGCCTTGCACCAGTTTGTTATGAAGGTTGAGGGGCTGAAGGCCAGGACCCTGATTGGAGGAGGCATTCTTCGATGGTAAGGAAGCCACTGCTTTAGTATTGGGTATCCGCTGCAGTGTTGACACAGGGGCCTGGGGTTTCTTTTGTCCATTGGGGGAACTTAGTGTATGCTGAGTGGTCCCTTGAATTGGGTGTTTGGATGTATTCAGATTTAACGCTGCTACCCCTTTTGATTTACTAGCAGCTGCTTTCAAATCCAGACTGCTGTTCACACTGGAGATGGACAGTTTACCCTCAGTGACATTCCTGCTCTGGCTGGACTTGTTTAGGGAGGGGGAGGCAGGTTGGACTGACCTGCCAGATCCCACGGAGCCCATGGAGTTTTTAACAACCCCGCCCTGGGTCAGAGGGCCCTTGTTCTGACCACCCACTGCATCCCTGGTCGAGCCCCGATGAAAACCCATGAATGTGAAGCTTGCTGGGTGAACGGGCTTCTTGATCGCTCCTGGAAGATCGGTATCTTTGGACGTCTTCGGGATCTTGCGAGGGCCCTTGTTCTGTTGAAATTCCTTCACGTCGGGGGGTAGGGGTTTCCTGCTCCGTTTCTTTGGGGGCTCCTGTTTTGCCACGGCAATCTGCGCCTTCTTCTGGGGGACGGGATGATGGTCTCGTGTTCTGACGCTCAGGTTTGCCTGTTCGGCGTGGCCCTCGTCGTCATCGTCGTCTGATGAGGATGAAGAGGAGGAGCACGAGGATGAGGAATCAGAGGATGATGAAGATGAGCCAGACGAAGAGCTGCTTGACTTTGGAGCTTCGGGCACGTTTTCCTAAATATAAGAGCAAATATCAGACAGTGTGTACTAAGCCACCAACAATGATACTCTGCTTTGAATTGTACTTACTAGGATTTTCCGTGGTCGTCCCCTCGGCCTTTTCCCCTTCTTGCGCATCAGAAGCTCCTTTTCTTGCTCTCTATATATAAAAAAACAATTTCAGCAAACACTTAATGAGGGGATAGTGATGAAGTATAAAATTACAAACCCTTTGTAATCTTTTTGGTCTCGTTTCTCCAGTGCAGTCTGCCTGAGTTACTTGAATGTCTTTATTCTGCTAGCCTGTACTTCTTTTGTGCAGATTACATTATGTAATTACTCTTATTGAGCTTATTGTTTGTGGGGCTTTTGTTGCCCCATCAGTGGCCCAGAGCAGGGGCAGCCCCACCCACTGTGGGGTTTCACCACGGGTGGGGCTGCCCCTGCTCTCACACACTGACACAGAGCTGGAGTAAAGGGAGGCACACAGCGGGGAGAGGTGACGATGGCTGCACCGTGCACGGAAGCTTTGAGTAAAAACAGCTGACGTGACACAAAAGTTCAGATCAGGTCAATGAACCTCAATACAGCCTATTCTGATCAGTTCTAAAACGCCTGCATCAGCGCTGATACCGATCACTGAGATTGGATCGGGGCATCCCTGACTGAATCATTAAGTCCACGAGCAAACTCTGAACCAACAAGGTTAAATAAACTGTAATATTCTGTACATTAGTATAAAGTATTTGAAATATCAGCAGGATTAGAACTACATCGAGTGTCTGAAAAATGACAATACTTTGACATCAAGAAATCACTGCTAAAAACACAATAAGTCTATTAATGCTGGGAATTTTTTTGGACTGGTCCAAGTCACTTAATCATCACAGCACTTAAAGTGTGTCTGAGCTGAATGACAGAGCGCTCTCTGCTGTGGTATTGTCTCGATAAGGACACTCACTTCTTGTTGAACGCAGCCAACAGTCTCGGGTCAAGGATGTTTTCTTGGGGCTCCCAGCTGTTGTGTCTGAAATGAATTGACACGCAGAGTGTCACACATCACGCCGTTAGTCAAAATAAAGTGAAGAAGCAAGGTTATATGTCCCCTTCAGCCCCAGCAGCAAAAAAAAAAAAAGGACTCAACAGAGTTTGTTCATTCAGAAAGAGAGGACTCTGGGCAACCTGGATGTTACCTGACTCAAATGATATAAGGATCGGCTGAGAAAGACCATTTGGTAACACTGTATTGAGTTGAGATTCAGCAACTGTTTTCTGAATTAATTACACCACTGTGGTTAAAGTTTGGTTCGATTCAGACACACTGTGGTCATGAGTTGTCACATTTACTCTATAGATAATCTGTTAAACGTCTACAGACAAAGTGAAACATTACAAATACGCTAAAACTATCTGTTATCGGACTCGTCCAGATAAAGTCTTCAACTAGTTATTAAGTTAGGCTCAGAACAGAATCTACAGTTAATAAATTAAAACAATACTACTAATTAAATTAGACAAATAAACCAGTAGCAAACACGGGCACGTATCTTGTTCAACGGGAATAAGGTGAAACATTTTTCCCTTAAAAGAATCCATTTTCACCCAAGTCAGCAGATTATTCAGGTAATTGTGTCCACCAGACTGCAATAAATCTTTAAATCCACAATCGAATCTTTAAACAACTGTGGTCATTGAACGACCACCCACGGCAGCGAAAGCGATTTCGAACCAACGTGAATTCATACTCGACTGAAACTGGCAGTTCATGTAACACCGCCTGAAACCCGCCCTGCTCGCAACCATTCCAGCTGCGCAGAGGAGAGACAGGTTCATGCATTCCTCCCCCAAAAAGAAGAAAATGAAAGAACGAAGCAGTGCGATCAGTTCGCCGTGGCTAAAAAAGGATTGCTGGAAGAAGAGCGGGGGAAGTTTTATACGGATTGTCTGGGGCTGAAATACTGTGGGGATTCCTTTTGGGAAAGTTTGGCTATTTGGTAAAGGCATCACCATCATCAGGAGGACGCTTTCCAACCTGCCTCCCCCTCTCAGATCCGATTTCAGTTTCCACAGAACAAACCTGTGCATCTTGCCAGAAAAAAAGACAACACCACCAAGGATCGAGGAAAGAGCGCTTTTAGGGTCTGAGGTGTCCTGACATTGTATGGGAAGTCTTGAAAAATACACTTCATGTGATCGGTACAGGCAAAAATAACCTCATCTTATCATGGCCGCACCTGTACATTATCAAACTACCCAGCTCTGTTTGAAACGCTGAATTAGGCCGGTGTGTCTTCATTCTACTTTGTTTGGCTGCATTATAGTATTATATATATATAGTATATAAAGAACAAAAAAAAATGCTCTACATTTTAAGAGATCAAACATGCTGTTCGCTCCTTTCCTTGGAGCGTGCAGGGGATGGTAAACTGCGGGGCCCTGAGGGTGTCGGGTATTTAAATCATTGTTTAAGAGGATCAGAAAGCTTCCGTTAACTGCAAAAGCAAACAGAAAACACAGGCACATTGTTTTTTTGCCTTCAAGTGGCTGAACTACATGCATGTGGAATGATCCTTCTCCCCATCATCTTGTGTTGAACAGGCCCCCGTTCTGATCAGCAGTCACCAGTAATTAATCAACCCCCACCCCTTTCTCCACACACACACACACACACACACACAAAGGAGGTGGTTCTAGAAAGCCATGTAGCTGGCAGGCAACAGTGTGCATTGGATGGTGGATTACAGCAACAATGTGGAGGGAACAGAGAAGGGCAAGTGAGCAAGAAATGAAGGGCAGAGGCGGAGCCTTAAAGCAGCAGATGAATGCAGAAGAAAAACAGGGAAACTGGACTTATGTAACGAGTCAACGTTATATTAGAGGTAGCTAGAAATCCAATATCGAACAGTCCCAGCTGACGGACTGATTGGTGCTGGGGTTCGCACGCGAACTTGTTTAAAGTGAGAAATAAAAAGAATTGAAGATAAAGTATTCAGCTGATTAAACCGAGGGATGGAAAGTCAGACACACAGCAGCGAGAAAGCATGAAACGGGTGTCCTTTAGCGTTCCGCTAACTTCCCAGAATGTGAGGTGTTATGAACAAAAGAATGCAACTGAAGAAGCAGAAACCGGATGGAGCGTAACATAAAGCAAACGCGCTGCTGCCCTGTTGTTGTTTGTTGTTGTTGTTGTTGTTTAGTTACTCGGTGTTTCGACCCCACGAGAGCGAGCGGGTTCGGAGTAAAAGCAACAAGCGCCCCGCTGTTGCTTGGTTGGTTTGCATTGTTTCGGCGGCTCGCGCGAGCAGCAGCGAGGCAGCACGGCGGCGGTACTCACTTGGACGGACCATCCCCTCCACTTCACCAGAAACTCCAACTTTCCCTGAAAGAGAAGCACGAGAGGACGATCGCGTTAGTAAGCAGCCGCGGAGAGGAACCGGAGGGTAACGGCGAGCAGTGTACCGGGATTGGGGGTGGGGGGGTGGGGGGGGGCTCCGACCTTTCTCAGGCGTTTGTTTAAAATGCATTCCGCATCAAAGACCTGCTCTCCCACGGCGCTCAGCTCCTCCATGTCTGCCGTCGCCCGAATGAGACTCCTTTATCAAAAGACAAGAGGCGCGTTCAGCTAATCACAGCTGCGCAAGGCCGGAAGCCCCCCGCGCTGCCTTCAAAATAAAGGTCGTACTCAAGCGCTTTTATTGGCCGGGAACGTATACAGGGAATGTGAATGTGACT